GTCAGACACAACTGAGTGACTTTCGCTTTCAATCATCACGAAGGCCTAGAAAGCGGTTATAAATATCTTAGTCTCATTTCCAGATGTGGAAATTGAGACATAGAAACGTTAAGTACTCAACTCAAAGTAAGTTGACCAGTAAGTGACAGAGCCAGAGTCAAGCACAGTCCGTGTGTCCCTATTTCACTGTACTTGTAGTGGCTGAGCACAGGCATAAGCCCCAATAGTCACTGAATGCATACTAATTCCAGATACTGGTCTAGGCGAACTGGATGTGGAGTTGCCCATATATTTACATATAGTATATATTTAAGGAGGAGATAGATGTTAACAAAGTAAATAATACATAAATACATAAATAAATACTATAAATTTCAGATGTTAGTAAGGACAATTATATAACAATAAAACTATGAGAAGGAAAAAAAAAGTGTGATGGGGCAACTGCACTAACTTCAATGGAGTACAAAGGGGAGATTTTTCTGAGGAGGCGACATTTGAGTTGCTATTTCAATGATGAAGTGAGCAAATCTTATAAGGAGCCGAGGGGAGATTTTTGCAGGCACACAGAATATCATACATAAATGCCTCAGGTGAGAAAAGCCTGGCATTTGAGGAATGATGAGAAAGTCAGTGTGGTCGAAGTGAACTGTTCTAGGAGTTGACAGTTAGGCCATAATATTGGGGAAAGCAGCAGAGGTCAGATTATATACAGCCTTGTAGGTGATGATAATGAGTGTAATTATCACCTCTTGGAGGGTTTTAGGAATCAAAGTGGTATGATCAGGTTTCTCCTTCAAAAATCACTCTGGCTACCTTCTGGAAAAGAATGGGCAGAAGTAGAACCTATTACTGTGGTCCAGGCATGGCGTGATATTGATTTAGACCAAGATTCAGCAGAGTGCTAAGATGTGACTGATTTTGAAATATATTTTTATGGTAGCACCAATAGGACTTTCGCTAGATACCAAGGGAAAAAGAGCAATTATACAAGACTCCTTGATACATTATTTTTGGCCTGAATTACAAGGAATAGTATAGAATCAATGAGTTCAGATAACGAATATTAGGAGAGAAGCAGCTTTGGCCCTGAGGACAGGAAGTACAGGGAAATCATGAATTCTGTTTGGAATATATCAAATTTGGGTACTAGGTTTCTGGAGCATTCCAACATTTAGAGGAAGAACCAGCAAGGAGACTGAGAAAGGGCACTGATGAGATGGTAAATAAGCAGGAGAGTGCTTTGTCCTGGAAGGCAAGAGATTAACACGTTTGAGGAAGGAGGCAGTGACAGCTGCACCAAGTGCTGCTGAGAAGTCAGGACTAAGAGCTGAGGTGTGTATTTAGCAAGACGGAACTTGCTGTGACTTTGACAGGGACCGTTTGATGAAAACACGAAATAGGTTAAAATAAGGAAAGGAAGTACTAAAGTGGAGCTAATGCAGACAGACAGTGTTCCGAGATTTTTGGTTAAGCTCAACAGAAAAATGAAGCAATAATGGGTGAGGGACATTGGGTCAAGGGACACTTTTTTTTTTTTAAGATGAGAGCTATTATCACGTCTAAATTAAATTTATCCCCCCCCCCCCAAAAAAAAGCAAGAGAGAAACTGATATTGCAGGAGAGAGAGGAGAAAACTCCAGAAGCAAATTCCTTAAATGGACAAGAGGTTATGGAGTCCAGGTTACAAGTGAAGAGCTGGCCTTGGAAAGAATCAGGAAACAGAAAGAGCACACTAGAGAATCTGGTGGTAGGAAGTAAAGTGGTGTTCCTTTGATGGCTTAGATTTTCTCAAGGACATATGGAGAGAAATTAATAGTTAAGAGCGAGGATGAGGGAGGGGGTGTTCGACATTTGAGGAGATGAAATGAGACAGGAAACTGTTTTCCCAGAGACCAAGAAAAGGATTTTTCTAAAGAGATTGCTGAGAACTGGTTGGTTGTTTTGAGAGTTCGTTTGAAGCCCACATTTACAAATTTAAAGTGAGATGACTAGGTGCTTCTCTTACCATGATTTGTTGCCCAGACGCTGACATGGAGTAATCAGGAAGGTGTAAGTTTAACCATGGTAGGTTAACAAGGGCTGAGACGACCACAATGAAAGAGAGAGGAGAAAAAATGCTGAGTGTGTAAGAAGGAAAATTAGCGTGATGGACCAGGGAACAGAGGCCAAGGGGAGGAGGGAAGTGAGGGCATAAAGGTGAAAACAGAAGGTAAACGGTGAAATCCGAATCAAGGTCCCAGTGGGGAGAGGAGGAGTACTAGAATAAATGACAAGGACACAGAGAAGGTGATGCTCGACACAGAGGTCTTGGGAGGGGTACAGCTAAGAGCAGGGAGAAGGTTCAGAGTGTGATTGAGAACCTTAGGGCGGGAAGTGAAGGACGGGTGATGCCATGCAGGCTCATGAAGCGAGTGCGAACACACACCAGGACCCACCATTGTCTGACTCATAGAGAACGTTCTACCTCACATCGAACTATTTCTGACCTATAAAACCAGGGTAACTAAATGGTGTTACCGTCAAGACATATCTATGTGTGGGGTTCAGGGAGACAGAGGCTGACCTCATAAGGGTGAGATCTGTGCAGTGCAAAGAGATCCTATGTTTAAAAGGCACTGCCGTTGTCATCTTTTACTGGTTTTTAAACAAAGGCCTCCCACCTTGATTTTGCACTGCATCCTACAATTTATATAGCTATTTCTGGACAGATGAATTAGTGACTTAGAAGGAGAGATATCTTCTCTTTCCTCATTTGGGTTGATTTTCCATAAACCTCACTTTTATCCATTTAGCATGCCTTTAAAACAGTTTATCAAAGTTCATAATGGAAGTTTTAAAGAACCCATCTGTCAGACACTTAACTTTTAATGCAAATTTCCTTTTAAAGCCATTCACAATAAAAATTAGGCTGGAAGTAAGAAATGACCTGACTAAAGAAACTGAATAATTAGTAAACTAAAAAAGAAAAAAAAAATTTAAATATAGATCTAGAGTCTGAATTCATGCTTGGATGAGAGCACAGAAAAAAAAATACTTACATTTTTATTTCTTAATATAAATGTATTACATGTTTCCCTGGAGGGGAAAATGGCAACCCACTCCAGTATTCTTGCCTGAAAAATCCCATGGACAGAGGAGCATGGTGGGCTACAGTTCAGAAGGGTCACAAAGAGCTGGGCATGACTGAGCATCTGAGCACTCTCACATTGCATGTTTATTATGGAAAGTGTAGAAAATAAATATAAACAAAAAGAAGTAACAATTACCTCAAAATCCTTAACAAGAGCTAATAACTTTTAACATTTTGGTATATATCCTCATTATGAATGTATATTATGCATATACAGATGAAGGTGAAAGAGGAGAGTGAAAAAGCTGGCATAAAACTCAACATTCAAATAATTAAGATCATGGCATCTGGTCCCATAACTTCATGGCAAATCGATGGGGAAACAATGGAAACAGTTGCAGACTTCATTTTCTTGGGCTCCAAAATCACTGTGGAGGTTACTGTAGCCATGAAATTAAAAGACAGTTGTTTCTTGGAAGAAAAGCTATGACAACCTAGACAGAATATTAAAAAGCAGAGACACTACTTTGTCAACAAAAGTTCGTATAGTCAAAGCTAAGATTTTTTCCAGTAGTCATGTATGACTATGAGAGTTGGACCAGAAAGAAGGCTGAGCACTGAATAATTTATGCTTTTGAACTGTGGTGCTGGAGAAGACTCTTGAGAGTCCTCTGGACTGCAAGTAGATCAAACCAGTCCATCCTAAAGGAAATCAGTCCTGAATACTCACTGGAAGGACTGATGTTGAAGCTCCAATACTTTGGCCACCTGATGCAAAGAGTCAACTCATTGGAAATGATGCTGGGAAAGACTGAGGGCAACAGGATAAGGGGGCGACAGAGGATGAGATGGTTGGATGGCATCATCAACTTAATGGACATAAGTTTGATCAAATTTGGGAACCAGTCAAGGACAAAGAAGCCTGGTGTGCTGCAGTCCACGAGGTGGCAAAGAATCAGACATGACTGAGCGATGGGGCAACAACTACAAGTGGCTGCTCCAATTTCCAGGCCCACTCATGGCAGTGAATATTAACCTTCCTTTTAAATGTTTTGCCAGTTGGGTTGAGAAAAACGTTAGTACCATTGATTCTTTGTTTAATAATAACGCTGAGCAAGGTTCTGGATGCTATTGGCCTTTTCTTCTTTGATGAAGGTCCTGTTAATACCTTTCAGTCACCTTTTTCTAGGCATTCTCTGGCCTTTTTCTAGGTACTCTTTGGCCTTTTTCTTATTCTTCTCTAAAACACCTTTATATTTCAGGCTTACGGTACACAAAATTTCCCTAATTTTTCAAACCTTTGCCAAGGCCTGAGCAACATGTTTTCAGAACTCTGCAGGGTTGCTGTGTTTTTCTCTATGAGGGAGGTTTTAAAATCCATCAAATGTTATTTTAAACTAAAAAAAAAAGAAAAAGCATGGTAATGGTAGTTAAGAAGATCACATTAATATCACGTAAATGAAAATGCAGTATAACATATCTTAAAATGTAGAGCAAAAGATTAATAATGAAAACAATAGGAAAAAAGTATTGATCCCTGGGTCAGGAAGATCCCCTAGAGAAGGCAATGGCAACCCGCTCTAGTCTTCTTGCCTGGGAAATCCCATGGACAGAGGAGTCCACGGGGTCACAAAGAATCGGATACAACTGAGCAACTAACATTTTCAGTTTCACATCACACAAGCTCCCTGAATACTTGGCTTTCCCTATTCATTTCTCCAAATCCTGGCCATGCATTATACATCATGAAAAATTCTGGTAGGTTGGTCGGCTTGTCTCCATGCCTTCCACTCCAAACATTTCATTAATATTTTCACTGTGAGTGTGTGTATAATACACATTTGCACATTTTCCCAAGACAACCCATTAGAAAGCAGAATGTGGAATGCAAGATTAGGGTTTTGGATTATTGGATTTTTTTTCTTACCCTCTCCAATGTAATTTCTTCAAACTCATATTCAATTTCTGTCCCATTGACCTGTAAATAGGAAAAAAAAAATAAAGAAAACTATTAAATACATTTTGAGGAGGAGAGAGCTGCATTTTAAATAATATTAGGGGGTTAAATTGCACCCTGGCTATGAATAAACCACATTCTATTGATGTTTGTGACTGTATGTTCTCTTCCAAATGAAATATAGTCCAAGGTATTCTGAAATATGACTGAGACTCTACAAACAAAACAAAACACAACACAACAAAAAAACACTCATTGTATCCTTTAAAATTTCCTGATGTTTGGGGGAGAGAAAACAGTACAAAATATATACTGTGAGTTTACAAAGAGAAAGCCACCTAGTGTCATTGTTATAGTTACAAGGGAAATTTTTTCCTAATATCTCTCAATTTTTCTATGGATAGATTCTAAAATATGACCTTAAAAATCAGTGGTAAGGGCAACACAACCATATTACATTTTTGGCTGTAAAACAGCATTAAGAATGACCATGTTAGATAAATAATGCCTTCTCTTTATCGGCTCAAGCTCGGGTAATTTATCCCCATTATCCTCCTGGTATATTTGTTGAGAAGCCCTGAACCATGTAACCATGGCTTCAGTAGCAATGAGAAAGGAACAAACCAGGACATGCTTGAAATTCCTAGTGAGAAACCATTTTAACCATCCAACCAACCCTTAAATTGATTCGAACTTAGAGAGAGAAACACATTTTAAATATAGTCAGGCAACATATAACATATGACTTAGATTTCAAGTGACATGAATACAGAACATATGAAGAGCTACTTTAAAATATTCTAACAAATATTAAATTCTCACGTTTATCTATCACAGATCCTTCTCAGCCAGGCAAAATTTCTGAGCAAGGAAATTCTTGAATTGGTTATTTTTGGTTGTTGTTGTTAGAATATGTCTCAGCAACATTATTAACATTTAGAAATTAGTGAGAAAAACTAATTTTCAAATAAATATCTATGACTTTTATAAAATTCTAATTTTACTTTACTGTCCCTTCTTTAGAAGAGTTTAAACATAGTTCTTGCATATTAAGAGCTTTATGGAGGCAAGGACCAGGCAGTCACATTACCTAGTGGAGCCTGACCAAAAATAAAGAAAGAAAGAAAGAAAGAAAGAAAGAAAGAAAGAAAGAAAGAAGGGAAAAAAAGTGAATGGATGAATAACTGAACTAAGTAAATTATTTACCCAATTTATAAACAGGCATTTGTGGGTTCTCTTCCATAAGGAATTTGAATATGGTATCATTAACTGAAGGTATAATCATAACTATAATCAGCAAATATAAAGAACAATAGACTTTACTTATATGTGTCCACCAGTCACTTAGAGCATGTTTTTGATTTTCTAATTATATGAGCTAATTGGTGAATCACATTTTATTGTGTTACTACATTATCAAACAGCCAGAAACCAAATTTGATTTTCTGGGCTTCAGCAACTTAATGACTCAGGAAAAAGAACTTGATGATGTTAGCACTAAGGTTTAGCAACTTTACAGTTTTTTTAATTTTATTTTTCACATGTAAAAATCAAAACTCAAACTCCCTGTATGTGTGTTCCCATATTAATTCTTTTTTGTCTTTTTTTTTTTTTTTCCAAAACTGTTTTTAGTTGACAGAGGGAAGTCAGAAAGGGAAGGCTGAGTTAATGTAATGTGTTTTAATTCTCACAGTATGGCTCCATGAAGCTTTTTTTTCGCTTCAGTGCTCTCTAGAGTGGAGCCCTTCAGACTACTAAAGCGCTGAAAACTGTGGTGGAAAAAAAAAAAAAAACTTCAAAGAGAAGAAAATAACAAGCTTCTGATAATAAATATCAGAGGTGAAAATTCTGTTAGGAAGTGTTAGTGACATACATTGCATAGTTGGGGGTCTACCAAAACATTGCTTAATATTTGTATGATCATATATGTTGAATTATAAATCCTAGAAGCATTATTTATGGATATCCAAGTTTGCATTCAAAAGTTCCCCAGACAGCTATATGAACTATTGATGGCTTTACATTTATTCCATGGGTCTTTAGTTTTCAACCTAAGAAAGCAATGTCATTTGCCTAATTCAATAGTACCCAGGATCTCTTTATAGGAAGGGAAAATGACATCCAGGTGGGGATGTAACCTTCCTTTTAAAAGAAAATATTCTATGACTACAACTGGATCTAGTGAAATTCTAAAGGAGTGAAAGGATTTTAGCATAGGTGAGACAATATTTCAAGCTTTAATTGAGGAGCATTTAAAACATGGAATAACAGGAAAGATATTTAAGAGGTTATAGAGTTTACTGCTTCATCACTAAAAGAGCACAATCTACACTGCCTGAGGACCCCTAAGAAAAGAAATCCTACACTGACCCTTGGCAAAGACCTTGGGGAAAAGAATGAAATAGAAAGAACTAAGAATACTTCCATTTTAAACATAAGTGTTACAAAAGTCGACTGTGACATTTGTGAACATTTAGTAGCTTCCCAGGTAGAGCTAGTGGCAAAGAATCCACCTGTCAATGCAGGAGATGCGAGAGACGCAGGTTTGATCTCTGGGTCAGGAAGATCCCCTGGAGAAGGAAATGGCAACCCTCTCCAGTACTCTTGCCTGGCAAATTCCATGGACAGGCTACAGTCTACAGGGTCACAAAGAGTTGGACATGACTGGGCCACTGGACCACAAGCAGCACAAATAACTTTTCAGAGGAGTATACCAACTCAACCATCTTTAAATGCTTTTTGTTCACACTGGCTTAGAGGAATAGGTGCTCTCTGAGTGGTAAAGAGACAAAAGCTATGAACAGTAATTCCTTCCTAGCCTTTGTGTATTCTTACTCTGAAAAACCAAGAAAAACTGTCAGAAAGGGCCTCCCATCATCTTCTGGGGGGTTTACAGACAATCTATTGTCTCAACTTGCCTTGATGGTCTCACACTACTTCCAATTAGTTTAACAATATATGCCATTTAGTTAAAAAGAAAAAAAAAGGGGGGGGGGCTTTGGGGTTTCCCTGGTGACTCAGAGGTAAAGAATCAGTCTGCCAGTGAAGGAGACTCTGGTTTGATTCCCAGTCCAGGAAGATCCCAGCATGAGCAGGAGCAACCAAGCCCCTGCACCACAAGTACTGAGGCTATGCTCTAGAGTCCGGGAACCACAACTACTAAGCTGCAACTATTGAAGCCAGCACACCGCAATGACAGAACAGACCCAGCTCTCAGCTGGGGAAAAGCCCATGCAGCAACAAAGACCCAGAAGAGCCAAAAATAAGTAAAATCATTTTGTTTTTTTAAAAAGGGGGCTTCCCAAGTGGCAAAGAATCTGTCTGCCAACACAGGAGATTCAAGAGACGTGGGTTCAATCCTTGGGTCTGGAAGATCCCATGGAGGAGGGCATGGCAACCCACTCTAGTATTCTTGTCTGGAAAATTCCATGGACAGAGCCTGGCAGTCTACATTCCATGAGGTCACAAAGACTTGGATGAGACTGAACTTGCATTCAATTTTGGCTTCCCCAGTAGCTCAGCTGTAAAGAATCCCCCTTGGGGCTGGTGAACTGGGATGACCCAGAGGGATGGGATGTGGAGGGAGGTGGGAGGGGGGTTCAGGATGGGGAACACATGTAAATCCATGGCTGATTCATGTCAATGTATGGCAAAAACCACTACAATATTGCAAAGTAATTAGCCTCCAACTAATAAAAATAAATGAAAAAAATAAAATAAAAATGATACACACTGGAAAAAAAAAAAAAAGAATCCCCCTGCAATTCAGGAGATGCAGGCAGGAGACTGGTTTGATCCCTGGGTCAGGAAGATTCCCTGGAGAAATAAGATGGCAACCTACTCCAGTATTCTTGCCTGGAAAATCCCAATCCATGGAGTCACAAAAGAGTCGGACATGACTGGGCAACTAAACAACAACAAATAACATTCTTCCTGGAAAATACTGCCAAATACAATTTTTTTCCTGACTAACAACATTTCCTGTGAGATTTAAGCACCCTGGTAATGTTTTATATTACTGATGGTCTGCAGCCTGTACAGATGCATGGAGATGGTTCTGGCTAACTCAGCTCTGGCTCTGACCAGCAACCATCATCGTCTCTCCACCTGGAGAAGTGAGAGGACTGGCAGCTTTCTAGACGTGGAGGGTCAGTAAAGTAGATGGAATTTCCCAGTTTTGAAATATGTTTCTGTTCAGATACTTGATTTTTCTGAACCTAATGGTTATGGAGTGTCAGCTGGTAGGTTTCCAGGGTGGCTGGAAAACCAAATTGATGCCACACATTGTCCTGTCTTGTTCTGAGCATCTAGCCTTCCTGGCCTCAGATGGAAGTTAAGACAAGAGCATAACCTATTCAAATTCAAACTTGGTATTTAAAATTCTAATTTCATAAACTTTGAATACTTTATATATGTTTTTCTCTCCCCAACAGTCTTTAGTTAATTTCACTGCTTTTTCTTTTTTTTCCCTTCAGTGCTATGGTAACCACCTGTCTGGGTGATAGTATAATTTGATTTGAGATCTGTTTTTATCTCTTGAAAAGAGGTTTTTCATGAATAAGACATGTGAACTATTCCATGTTTTAATGTTCTTTAACTGGAATCTTAAGTAACGATTTCTTTGAATTTTTTGTTCGTGTCTATAGTGTAATTTCATTAAAACTAGCAGCATAATAAAATGTCAGATGAATGAATTTTATACATCCCCATATCACATATTAAAACAAGTGCTGAAACATGAATATCAAAGTGTTGACTTCTTAGGACAAAGCAACTCTACCCAATGAACAAGTATTGAGCTTGCATGATGTGCCAAGGGATGTGAGAGGCACTGAGAAAATAGAGATTTTAGTATATTATTCCTGTTCTCAAGAAACATACAGTCTTTACAGAGGTACCAAACACAAACATTAAAACCCACAGACGTGAGATATCTAATATACAAAATAAAGAAGTGAATTGGAGCCATAGCCCCCCTGTTGGCACATGCAAGAGCTATACAGATCTGTTTATTATTTGCT